GGTTTGCGATTAACGCAACTGTCTCAGAGCTCAAAGCAATTTAAATGTTCATTTGGTGTTTTTATTTGTTACCAAATTTGGAAGTTGCAAGTTTGACTTTCTGGCCTTTTTAGTCGTCAGTAATAATTTTTAAATTGTTAATAAATCGATTTTGCCTAGATTTTTGTGGTCATTTTTCATAGTCAATTTTGTTGTTTTATTCTTGACTGCGGCGCAATGCAGCTGCTGATGTAATTCAGCATTTTTAGTTCATTCGAAACTTAAGCGAAACGCGGCTGCATTGAAGTTTTTGCTGGATATTTAAACTTATTAAAATTTTTTTTTTTTTTGGTTTGACTTCAATTTATTAAATTTAAAGTTGTATATATTAAATGGCATTTAAAATATATTCGAAATACGCTATTTCAGTATGGCATAAATTTATGTTGAAAGAAGTTTATTTTTAATACCTGTTCTTGTTCTCGATATCGTTGTGTTTTCCGTTTTAATGCGGGTACTCGTACATAAATAAATCAGATTAAAAATAAATAAATTTAAAATAATAAAGATTTACACAAAATTAGTTGTAGTGATATATTTAAAAAGATAAATTAGAAAATAAGCCAGAAGAAATCGAAAATTTTCTTAACGAAAAAAGTAAAATCGTTTTTGTCTTTTGGAATTAAACCAAAATTAAGTTATATATCTTAAGAAAGTGAAAATAAGTTTTATAATATATTTTTTTAAAAAAAAAATTTTTTTTACACTATCAGCTTTATTATAAACAACGCGATGAGTCTTTAATTAATGAAAATGTTCAGACTAAACAATAAAAAGTATATATAAAAAGTATTAACATTTCTGAAACACCTATAAATTAGTCCTTTCCTGCGTTGAAAGTACTTTAGGTTTTTTTTCGGGTTATAAAGAAGCTATTATCATAAAAAAATTGCAATATATTTATAAAGTAATTATTTTAAGCTAATAAAAAAGTTCAAAAAATATATTATATTATAAAATATAACTACAACAAATATAAATAATGAATCAATGAATGGATAAATATAAAAATACAAGTACAAAATATAAATACAAAGAAATATAAGTGTGGTAATATATAAACATAAATAAAAAACTGTATAAACAATAATATATGAAATACAAAAACTAAAAATTAAAAGAAATAAGTTTATATGATAGGAAATAAAGATATAACGACAAGTTGTTTTGAAAAGTAATCGAAGGAACAAGCCAGAATCATGCCACATAGATACCGAAAATTCTGTATAGGATGAGGATAAAAAAAACATGAAGAAGAAAAGCTACATACACGTATTAACAAATTAATAACTAAATAAATAATAGTACTAAATTAAAATGTGAAATAAAAATTACGTAAATAGATATAAATAAATATATTTAAATAATTAAATATATTTAAATAAATAAATATATTTAAATAAATAAATATATTTAAATAAATAAATATATTTAAATAAATAAATATATTTAAATAAATAAATATATTTAAATAAATATATATATTTAAATAAATAATTATATTAAAATAAATAAATATATATTATAATTAGATATAATTAAGAACAAATTAAAAATATAATAAATAAGTTTTATAAACAAATATAAAATGCCTAAAAAATGAAAATAATGGTACTTGTCAAAAATTCATTAATTAAACAAGGTTTATAACAAATACATAAAAAAAAATATATAATAAATAAAAATAAAAATTTCATGTATATAAAGTTAATTAATAAATTATATAAGTTTTATAAACAAATATAAAATGCCTAAAAAATAAATGTAATGGTACATGTCAAAAATCTATTAATTAAACAAAGTTTATAACAAATAAATATGAAAAATATATATAAAAAATGAAAATAAAAATTTCATGTTAAAAATTAATAAATTAAAATAATTGTTTGCATTAATAATAAATGCTAGAATATTAATATCATCATTAATATTAATTATTTCATTTCATTATTTTAAAATAAATTTATTAAATTTTTTAACTGTATAAAAAACTGTATATAAAAATAATAAAAAATATAATAAAATTAAAAAATTAGAAATAAAATATTCAAATAAAAAAATTCAAAATAAAATAACAATAAAAATATTAAATACAAAATAAAAATAAAATAATAGTAAAAAAAAAAATAATAATAATAACAAAATGTAAAATAAAAATAAAAAAATACAAACAAATTAAATTAAATATTAAAGTTTAAATAAAATATAAAATAATAAAAGGTATGCGAATGTTGATAATGATAATAATAATATTATTATTAACTTAAATCGAAAGATGATATATATTAATTCAACTGGTCAAAAGTAAAGAAATAACTGCGTTGGAAGAAGAAAATTTATTTTTCAGTGGTACACTGGTGGTACAGTGGTGGACTAAAAATAGAATAGCAAGAAACTTCTAAATTTATTAAAGTAGCCTCTAAAGCATTAGAGTCTTTGTTTGAGGCTGTTAAAAAAATATGTAGTATTAAAGATGCTAATGTGATGTTCTCAAACTTAATTATTCAATATTTATTGTTTGTATTCTGTAATTTGCACTCTTCTTTACTTGCTTTGCAAATTATTTAACTTATAATAATACATATAATATGTGTATATAATATATTACTTATATAATACAATTCTTTTAAAATAACTTTGATAAAATATTTGTATTTTTGTCAATATTTAATACTAAATTGACAAACAATACAAATTATTAGTAGATAAAACTACACGGAAGTAATGCGACTCGGTAATTTTGTCGTACAATATTTGATTTAAAAAATCCAAGAACTCATAAATTTTATGCATTTCTTGGTTTTCTTTTTTTTATTTTTTTTAATTTATCTTTTGCAACACTTCTGCTGACGTATGAAAAACGATTTCCTCGGTGTTAATTTGCTTTTATACTTTGCGTGGGTGACTCAGCTGGCTGAGACTGCTAAGTAAAAACTAAATAGATACTTCTTTATATATTTTTATTTCTTTTTCTTTGGGTATATATAGAAGCGAACGTCGCATTTTACCGGTAATTTTATAAAATGGAAATGTTATCAAAAAATTTTTTGTGTTATAGAATACAGTATATATATATATATATATAACCATAAGTGTTGACGATAAATTTTTGGAAGTGAATTTTCACTAACTTAATGACATTATATAAATTTTGATTGACTTTCTTTGACGTCACTGGCTGTTATATATAATTCTAGAAAAGAAAAATAATTATTTTTGGCCATAAACATATGTTTTATTTAATTAAAATTTGTTTGTTTTGAGATACTGGGAAATACGCAATTTTTCTTATAAATAAATTTAAGCAATCAATGTACTTATATAAATTAAAAAAAAAAAATAATAATGAACATTTAAAAAAACTCAAAATTCACTTTGAAAAGCCACACGCCGTCCCTGCTGCATATTGCCAAGGCGTAGGTGTTGTTGATTTTTCACAATTATTTTTAAGAATCTACGTAATATTTTTCAATGGTTTACCGAAATTGTTTCTATTAATGGTCAAGCATTTCAAATGTGTTGCACGTTTGTAAAAATTAATTTCTTGAATTATTGCTAATTTTGCAAATATAAATTTATCTGCTGTCAGTCCTGCTCGATCGATCAGCTGTTTTAAATATTTATCGTTTACCTAATGAAACGAAACGAAAAATAATAAATTTTAATTTTGAAAATATTTACCTTACGCGATTTATAGTTTGAACTTGATTTGTGTGGAACAATAACTGCATATTGTATATAAGAAATATATATTTATTACTTTATATAGTAAATCGAGAAAATAAGATAAAAATATAGACAAACGTTTTTTAAACACTCGTCAAACGTTGAGTCTTGTCTCAGCATGTCATTTCGTTCACGTTCACGTGCCACGCAGCCTATTTCTACGAGGAGGCGCTCGGCTTCTAGTTCACGTGTCCCTACAAGCAGCACTGGAGCTTATAATTATAATGGTACTAGTTATAATACTGGCACTTCAAATGGTTACGGTTCATCTTCAGCTTCGCGGCCATTAAGTACAGGTTTCTATCAAAATAGTAATTCTGCAGGTTCTAATTCATCATATTATCAAAGTCCTTATGCCAGCATATATAGTTCACGTGAAAATCTATACAGTACTGGCGGCGCTTCTTCCGGTCGCAGTGGTTACTTCTCAAACGGTAATAGTGTCGCTATGTGTAGTCGCTATGAATATGCTACTGCTTCTGCACACCATTCATCCACACCAAGTTCCTCATCTACATACATGAACTCATCATCTAGTGTTGCTAATAATAGTCATGCTAAATCCTATTATCATAAGCACGCTTCCTCATCGTCTGCTAGCGTGTATAACAATATATATAGTGGTAGCAATAATTATAAGTCCAACTCGAATTCTTTAGCTAACAGCGGCGGTTATGAATCACGTTATGCATCAAATCCCTATAATAGCGAGCGTTATGTCAGTCCCTATACTAGCTATGATAATGGTATTACCACTGCATCTCTGAGTTTTAATGTTGGAAATGGCACAACCAAACCAAAATCTTCACTTTCCTCTTCGAATTCCTTTAAAGGTTCAAATTCTTATCTGAATAAGTCTCATCAAGGAGCTGGATCAAATGCACGTTCTACTGCTTCCATGCTTAAATCAAAATCAATATCCTCATCAAATGGCAACGTTAACACTGGTTATGGTACATCGACTAATTTACAAGGGTCTAGCTCAAATGCTGCTCCTAGTGCTGCAGCAATGGCTGCAATTGTGTCACGTAGCAGTTCACTACGTGAACAAGAGCGTAAGTCTCGTAATCGTACACGTTCACGCAGTGCAGCACAACGTTCTGTTAGTGCTTCATCAGAAAAAAGCGAAGGATATGAAGTATGTTTATTAAAACGTTGTTGTTTTTGTATAAAATTATTTATTTTTAGTTACTTTAGATAAATTAAGTATTTAATCTATATATTCTATATTTTAGAGTGGTAGCGAACGTACTTCACGTTCACGTGTTGGCAGTTCTAATTCATTGTCAAATGCATCCGCAACAGATGATAAGAAGTCGCGTGATAAATCTGAAAATGGTGATGGACCTATAGATTATAAAGCATTATGGGAAGCTGCAAAGTAAGTAATATGATCACGAATACACTAATTAACGTGGACTTTCCTTCACTTAATTTATAAATCCTAAATAGTTTCATACTAGTTTTAATCATTGTATACGTCATTTTAATGGACAGATCTTTTAATCCGACGTAATTACTTGTTTCATTCATGTCCTGTTTTAAAGCCCCGTGTTAGATCAAGGGCTTTTCCTTGCTTGGCAATCGAGTAATAATTCAGTAATAATTCTAAATATTGTTTAAATTAAACTAACCGTGGTAGAAAATAAATGAGGCGTACGTGAAAAAATATAGAATAGAAGAGTAGAGTAGAATTTATAATTTCAACATATTTAATAATGTTAATTTTTTTTTGCCGAGAGTGTCGCGTCTTTATGACTAAAAGAAACTATTTAAAAGTTAAACGGATTCGAAAAGCAAAGAAAAAATATTTAATGTTTTATTATAAAATTAATACGTTCACGTTTCACATTTAATTTTGTTATCATTTTTGAGTATAAACAGAGTATAAACAGAAGTATACTGATACGTAAAATATCATTACTTCCATTACCTGACAGATGACAGCTCTGTTAGGTCGGTAAAAAAAGGGAGCTACAAAGATCTTAAATCTCCTTTTAACCAATGATGGACTCTACAGCCGACAAAATTTATTAGAGTGAACTCAATGTCATGGTTTATTTTCCTAGTACGCATTAATCGTTCAGCACTAATATCGTAGTTTTAAGCAGGTTGTAACTAAGGTGTCCAGCTTGAATCACGTCGAGGGTTTTTATAATGGGCTTATTTAAATCCTAAAAAGTGGGCACGTTGTGATGCCACAGCTACTTAACTGTAAGAATAAAGACCTAATTATGGAGATATGATTGTAATTTCTACAATCACAGTAAATGTATATTTTGTATTAATTGAATTGTTTTAATATAATAGATAAATAGTATTAGTTTAAATTTTTGAATTCACATTTGCTGCCAGAAACTTATAATCTGAATAATATGAATAATTTTTGTAAGTAGTATTAGGAAATAATTTTCAATTTGATTTAAGTTATTCTATTTATTCTAGTGAACAATATTTCAATAATTAATCTATTTTCTCCTTTTTTTAGGTCGGAGAATGATAAACTCAAACAGCAACTAAAGAAAAAGGACGAAGAGGTTGTACAAACCAGAGCAACACTGGAAAGGTTTACAAACGCAGTAAGTAAAATTTTCTTAATGAGCTTCTCGTTCATGCCCTCCTTACTACTATTAATTTTATTTACAATAATATATATATAAATGATCTTCTTAACTTATAAATTGTAATTAAAGGAAATTTCTCATCAACACAGAAATTTCATATATATTTTTATATACTTGCAAACAATGAAAAATGCTCTCTCTTTTACACTGACACAATTGTTTTTGTTTTTATTATTTCGTTTCTTATTACAAAAAAAAATAAAAATAAAACACAAGCAAAACAAATGCTCTACTCATAAAAAAAAGCATACAAAAACACTAAAAATTGCTCATAAAACTGAACACAACGCTCAGACGCTTTTCTTTCTACTTCCTACTCTCTTGCTATAATACTTAACATGGCAGTCAAACCCCCCTGTCTCCATGCTCCCTCTATTAATTAATTCAAAATAATTTAAAATCAAATAAAAAAAAATGTAAAATAAAAACAAATCAGATAAAGAAAATCCAAGTGCAAAACTATGTTTTTTTCTTTGCAAATTTAATTTTTGCAGACAACTAAAAACTCACTCTCAGAGATTGAAAAGCGTGAAAGGAGAGCAATGGAACGCAAACTTTCTGAAATGGAAGAAGAGCTCAAGGTAAATAAAACGTTTTGTTGTTGTTGTTGTTGCATTGTGATTACACTAATTGATATATACGTTTGGAATCTTATTAAAATCCAACAAAAAAAAATAATAATAAACTAAAAGAAATACATAGAAAAAACAAAATAAAATTGTAAAAGAAACACAAAAAATTTATTATTTTCTTTTATTAAATTATTTTGTTTTTCTTTTTATGTTATTGTTTATGTTACTCTTACGCCGCAATGTGCCATGCGCTGCTCTTAAACCAAAAAAACGCTTACTAAAGAGAAAAGTAAAGCATATGTGTAATTTTGAAATTTTTACGTTTCTTTTTTTTTTTGCTTTTGAAGAGAAACTAAAAATAATAGAATTGTGTTGATTGTGTTTTTGCAAAAAAAAACACTGTTTTTGAATTTTAATAACAAATTTTTGATTTTTTGGAAAACGATGCTTTATATATGAAATATAGCTATTATTTTTATCCTTTTTATATGCGGTTGATTCTCCCCTTAACTTATTTTTTAATTTTTTTTAAATTCTCTAATGTAAGGGATTTATTCTCCCCTTATATTATTTTTTAATTTTTTTTAATATTTTAATTATTATTATTACAAAAAAAATGATCTTACATAATTTCTCATGTTTGAACATAAATGGCAATGAGCTCTGCCATATGAATTTTTAATTATTAAAATATATATTGTTGGGAAACTTATAATAATTTATTAGCGACCTAATTGGTCATTTAAATATAAATAAAAAAACTATTATTTATTATTTTTATTTAAAAACAATTTATATTTTATTAAAATATTTTTCCAATATTTCGACTATCTTCGATAGTCATCTGCAGGGAAACTTTTGGGAAACATATTTAATCTTGAGTTTTTGTTTTATAAGACTCGATTGAGTTTCTTCCCATAAGACTAATTTTTTTTTTAAGTTAATTCTAGTTGAACATATGAAAAAACAAAACGTTTTTTGACAAATATTTTGTTTATATATTTATTTCTGTTTATTATTTCTATTAATGTGACATGTAACTTTATATTTTTGGTTTTCTAAATCTTGTTAAGTTTTAATCTGTTGATTGTGTTAATAAAACATCAAAAATTGCGAAGAGATTTTTTTTAAATATATAATTTGATTTTTAAAAATAAGTAAATGTAAATAATTTTGTATATTAAATACTATATTAAAAGTTTAAAATATATGTTATAATATATATATTATGATTGAAAAAAAATCAATAACTGGTATCATTTTTATTATCTGATTATTGTTTTCAATCATTTCATTATTACCTAATTAAAAGTTAATTGCTACTAACTGCAAATAATATTTTTAAAATTGTGTGCTTTTACAATTTTTTTTTTTGTTAAATAAATTACACTATATCACTTCAATTATTTACATATATTTCACTGTCTGTTTTGCTTTTAACTAATGCAAAATAAACAATTTTGCTTGAAGTATATTTATTTATAAAAAAAGACTTAGTATTTTACACTGTTAAATACTGTTGTTATAAACAAATAATGAAATTAATGAAATTCTCTAATTGATTTCAAATATTTAAATTTTTATTTAAAATTTGTTTTTGCTGTTTTTGAAAGAAACGCAATGTTTTAGCGCACATGTTTTTTTTTTTGTTTTTTTTAGAATAAAATAAACAAATTTGAACATAAACATTATGGACATTCATTGCTGATCAAGGAAATCATATATTTAAACTTGATTCATATCAAACATATTAGCAAATTCATGTTTCATTATCATTAAAGTTCAATATCATTTGAATGATCATTTAACGATTTTTAAAATATACATTTAAATTTTTATGTTTTAAAATACAATAATTTTTTAGTTTTACTTTTTTTATTAGTAATAAATATTGCACGCCATTTTATTTTTAAATTTGAGTTTTATAAAAATGTTAATTTTTTATTTTATACAAATAAAAAAAATTTCATTTCATTGTTTCTTATATTATATTCATAACCCATATTCATCAATTTAGTTTAAGTTATAATCATGTTTCATATCATTTTATCATATCATTCATTTTAATTGGAATACAAATTTACTTTTTATATGAAATCAATTTGTATTTCTTTTTATAAACTTGTACTTCGTATAACATTATCTTTCATATAAGCTCATCAAAACAAAAAATAAACTCATCGTCCATCATCATCCTTCGCACATAATTGATTTATCTCGTAAGGAACTCACTTATTATAAAAACTGAAATATAAAATGAATTTTGAGTTTATTAATTGCATTTTATATTTTTATATCAAACTAGAACTTTTAAAATATAAATACAACTCACCACTCGCGTTAAACCTCTTTGTCTAGATATATAATTTATTAATTTATCACTCTTATAAAAATACAAAATCATGCATATATATCTCAAATTTGCACATCAATTCATTACTCACTCATTTAAGCAATATCTTTAAAACATAATTTTTAGTTCAATCCCATCGATATAAATTCTGGTATGAATTGATTTACCTATAAGTTGACGTCTAATGTGAACTGACCTTTCATAAGAACTATATACAAATTATTTATATTATAAAATCATATTTCATGGAAATCAATCCTTTTATTATTTTACTATCAGCGTACAAAGTGTTCGGAATTATTAAATAATATTAAAAAAAATATATTATATAACAATCAAAATTAATTTGATTGCCCCTTAAAATAGACCCAGCCCCATCGAGTTCAGTACAATCCAGTGTCGATATAGAATATAACAGGGGTCTTGTCAGGTGAGTATGGGGCTTGTTCGTTCACGTTACATAAATTTTTTTTTTTCTGCTAAAAATTCTTGCAATATGCGATATATTTTATGCGTATTTTTTAAATTATAAATTCCGTATACTTTGTACATTAAATGGTTTTGTATTTATCATTCATGCATTAAACTCTATATTGATTCATATCTTATAAACACATAAACACAAATAAAATTTTTTATTTTTGAGTGAAAATATGTCAACTTATCTACTTTACTCATAAACAATCAACAACCGATTATTTTAGTCTCATTGTGACTTCAATTTAAATTCATTTTTCTTTAAGAATATCAAGTTACTTTAAATCATGTATCTTTCTTTAACATCCACAATGCTTTTACAGGATCATACTAACAAAAAACAAATCAAAGTATTCCCAATATCTTTTAAGACTACTAACCTCTGTAAAGTTCGCAATATAATTTTAACTCTTTTTTTTTGGAATACATCTCTCTTTTGTACCATATTTTCCGACATCCAAAAATACTACTATTATTACTACTACTACTACTACACAATAAATAATATTGTAAACAACTTCTACTACTACTACTACACAATAAATAATATTGTAAACAACTTCATTAAACTCACTGTTTCGTATAAAGTTATTTTTCAAAATTTTGTCATATACATTTTCATAAATAATTTTATTCTTCCTATTTTTCCATTATTTTGTTATTTTGTCATTTTAGCTATTGCAGAAGCTAAAGACTGAGAATGAGCGTTTACGTGCTGAAAATCGCGCTCTAACCCGAGTCGTCTCGAAGCTGACCACTTCGGCACAAAATCAGCTTTCTAAATCAAAATAGATAATTCTCAAAAAATAATCAAAAATTATTTATATATAAGTACACAAAAAAATAAATTGATCTACTATTAAAACAATATATTTACGTATAATACACACATATATATAGATCTATAATATTTTTAAATAAAATATAGGTCGATCGGATGGTCCCAAAAATGAAGAAAATTTCACTTTACAATTGTTAAGTGCATTTTGTTTCTTTACTTTAATTTAAAAAAATTATTAGTAAATAATAAATATATAAATAAAAAATAATATATAATTTATATATTACTATAACTATAACATAATTAAAATTCATACTATAACTAACATCATATCAAATTTATGCATATAGTAAGTTTTGAATTTCAATCGATATGGCAAAATGTTAACAGTTGGTAAGGTTACTTATTACGCGATGAACTCAAAAGTGAGGGAAACTGAACGTAATGTTAAAATAATTTTAAAAACGTACCCTTAGCATTTTGAAGTTTAAATAAATCAAAACTAAGTTTTAAAAAAGTTACACAGTAATTAGATATATAAAATATAGCTAAAACGGATCTACACGTTTGCTGGGATTCATATAAAAATAGTTCCAATCAAAAATACATACTCTAAATTTTTATAAAAACAAATTTCTTTAATAATCAAACATTTTTCTGAAGTATATGAGTATAGTTTTTGTAATAGTTTATATATATATATATATTACATAGTTTGGTATAAATAAAAGGAATTTTTAATTGTCGTCATATATCGCAGTTTAGATAGCTGTAGAGATAATAAAAAACATGCATGACGAAACATAGATCGGGAAAGCAATTTACTGTTTGTTGTAAGGGATTTTATATATCTATATAGATAGATATACATATAACAAATTGATATACTAGAAAATATTTTTAATTTTAGTTATATAGCACAGAATGAAAGTCAAAGTAAATTAGGCTTGAGTAAATGGTGAGATCAGAAAAGTAGTTTACCATACATACATATACATCTACCCAAAAAAAAGTATCTGAAATTTGTTAATGGAACCCAAATGTATTATTATTATTATTCAGAATTTATTTGGATTCGTTTTAAATTAAGACAATTCAATGTATAGATTACTGATTGTTATAAATTGTTTTATGTATATATTTTATATACGATTATACATATAATAAATTCAAATTTAAATGCTGATTAATAATTGCAAAATAGATCTCAGTATTAATTAGACAAGACTGATCACTGATCAGATAAACCGATTACCATTTGTTGTAAAATAAATAATATTTTATTTTTTATTGACTCCTAGTAAATTTTAAAAATAATTAATTAGAAATTTATAAATAGATCCAAATATTTAAATATTCTTGAATATTGTGGGCGAAAGTTTATTATTAGACTTTCCCAAATTCGATGAATCTTTTTCTTTAATTAATTGAAATACTTAAATACCATTTTTAATAGACTGTGTCAGCTTGCAAATGAAGTTTTGTGTAAATAACACTGCAATAAACGAAGAAATTACTAAAAATTGCCTTAATTCATTATCCATGGTTTTTTATATATGCATTTGTAATATTAAATTACATGAACGTTCAATTAATAGAAGATTGAAAAGTCGTGTCTTTCTTAATTTTACTATATTTTGACTATGTGAAATCCAATAGTTTCAATTTAACTGACAAAGATACGTTACATATATCTAAATATTGTATGCTGATATAGTTATAGATAATTGTTATAAAATTGGTGGAATTTGTACTGCAAGTTAAAGATGTATACAGCCTTCCTGGTTCTACAAGCCCAATTTTGTCGAAAAATTTTAATCTTGAACCTACAAATGAGTGTCTGGTTGTCTAGATAGCATTAGACTAGATTTAATTACAAATTGCAGATACTTTTAAATTGTAAGTATATGTTGATATGGTTATATAGTGATAGCGAATATGTAATAACCAAAATGCAAATAAATCGGTGACATACAATACTTAAATTTAAAACTACTACAGTAATTATTGCAACTACCTAGTATATGATTTTTATTTAAAAGTCAAATCATGTAAAATAAGTTCGAATAGATATATGAAAGATAAGAAAATAAATCTGAAAAAGTTTCCTGAGATGTAAACAATTATTACCAACGTTTTTACATTATTTATAATTGCAGTAATTAACAATTAATTTATAATCAAACGTTTAAATGCTTAGGATGGAGTACAGAAGTTCTTCAGCAGTACACACCTCATCATTCAGTTGAGCTCAGTTTATTTAAACATTAGTATATTCAATGTTTTCCTCAAGCAGGAATTGAACAAATACAAATAGATTGCTCGATTAATATATAATTTTAAATTTAAAAGGTGCCAAAATTAAATTAATTAGGAAAATAAAAAAAAATTTAAACATTTATTTATTTAAACTAATAAGATATGCTTTTTTAGGACTTTAAAAATTCGTAGTTAAATTATACAAAACAAATTGAATTTAAATTAAAAAAGAAACGCACAAAATAATTATTAAAAATTATCTAAAAAAAAAATAAATAATGAATTTCAAAATCAAAACTATAAAAAAACTTAAAAAATTTAGATAAAAACTTATAACAAATAATAAATTATTATATAGAGTAAAATAACAAAATTTTATAAAAAAGTTTTGTACACAATTTCTCTTTTCTCTCACTTAAATATTTCATATAATAAAAAATGTTAAAAATTAAAAATGGTAAAAAAAATGGTATATATTAAATCCTAAAATATTGAATCAAAAAGTGCAGAGACAGATTGCATTGTGGATAAAGAATTGGTCTAAATCTCGTGATGATGAACGCTCATACAACTTTTCTCGGCTGATCTCCGTTTAATCTGGTATGATGCTATTTGATGGTCTTTATGATGATGTTAATGTTAATGTTAATGATGTTGGCACGTCACCATTAAATAATATTAATGAAATAGTGATAATTGTTGATGATTCCTATGTTAATAATTTGTTAATTAATTTAGTTTAAAGAAAAAAATTTAATAAAAATATATGTTGTTTAATACAATTATATTATTTTTTTTCCTTTCCATTATATTTATTTCTGTTTTAATGTTCGATTGAATATGGAACTCTTTTTTTTCCTTCTCTTTTACTATTGTGTCGATTGTTTTTACTTTTTCTATTAAAGAAAATGCCTCTACTGAAAATTATTACTTTGTATGACTTTTTGTTTCATTTACAGGTATATATCCCTTTTTTCAAATTCTTTTTCTTTTAACTTTGATAATTGGATGACATTTTTCTGCATTTTTTTATTTTTAATATAGTGATGATAAATCTTATAAGTTAGTATTTACGTGGTCTATTACCTCGATATATAATTCTACTGTTGCCTTCGTTTATAGTTATAAAAATAAATTTAAAATGGCTTTCTCATGTGTTTATTCAATAGTAATCTAATTAATATTCAAGAATGTTAGATAAAGATTAAAAAATCTTTGAATTAAAATCAAAATTGTCAATAATTTATTGTGATTAATTTTTTATTATTAAAAATATTTAAATTTTTATACAGTACCAAAATTAAATATCTTAATCTTTTCAATTAAATCAAATAATTTCTTTTGTATTATTTTCTTTTTAAACATACCTTATTTTAAAAATAAATTTATTTTTATTTTTTTTTTTTTTTTTTGTCTACTTATTATAAATTTGATTGTTTTAATTTTTTGAATATTATTTCATTTTTATTATATTTATTTATTTTACATTACTATTATTTTGTACTATTTTATTTTTAGTTGTTTTTATTTTGTTTATTTATTTGTAACTTGTTATTATTTTTATTTTTATTTAATTTTTTAATTTTTTTATTTAATTATTATTATTACATTTTATTTTTTTATTTATTTTTACAATTTATTTTTTTATTTTATTTTACAATTTATTTTTTTTATAGTTTACAATTTCTCCTCTCTCTATTTTATTTATTTTTTTTTATTTTTTTTATTTTTTTTATTTTTATTTTTATATTTTATTTTTATTTATTTATTATTTTTTTAATTTTTTTTTTATTTATTTTAATTTTTATTATTTTTTATTTTATTTTTATTTTAGCTTTATTTTTTATAATAAATATTTATTTTATTATTATTTTCTATATTTAATTTGGATTGTTTTTAATATTTAATTTTTAATTAATCAAATAAATAAAATATGATATATTCTGCATTGAAATGTTCGTTTTCGGAATAAAAATCTACATTTTTTTTCTGAGGTGAAAATCGTTCTTAAATTAATTGTGTTGGAGCTTTAATACATTTATTAGTAGTTTGTTATTACATGACTTTTTAATATTGAATAGATTTTTCTTTAAAAATTTTTATCATAAGATTTTGTAGACAAAATTTGTTAATAACTGAAAATTTACTGATAGATATGGAAATATAATAAATATATAAAGATAGGAGCGACATGATGAATTACATATTGATTGTCGGTATATAAGAATGGTTGAACATTTTTATTAAAAAACTGATCTTTGACAGTGTCATCTTTTAATTTAAGTCAAAATCACTTCTCTACTGGGTTATATATATTTCCTATAATATGGAAATATTTAACATATTCTAAAAAAGTATATTAAAATAGCACCTTTTTGGAATTTTTCAATATATACTTTCGATAATTAGTGTGGTGATACTTTTAAATTTCAAAAATATTATTTTGGTTTCAATTGCTTCTTAAATTTTAATAATATTTATGCGAGCCCTGCATCTAACGAAACCTGGACGCAGATTAAAAAAAGAAAAAGTTTTTAATGGATAACCAACACAGGGATCCTACCTCGAAGCATACCACTATTGCGACGTCATAGTTAGGCATTTATTAACCTCCTTTTCGCACAAAAAAAAAAACAATTGGTATGTGTATAATTAAAAGTCATCTCCGAACAGTTTTGGGTTAAAATCCCCTTAAATAGTTCAAACAATTTTGCACTAGACATAATAAATTTTTTTGTTTTAATTTTTGAATTTTATTTACTACTTTTTTAGTACATTTCAACGTTCATTTTTCTGATGTTA